AATTAGATTGAATTTGGTATTGATGACGTGAAAAATAATAACGGTAACTCCATTGAAATGATTCAAAACTAAAGTAACCAGCCAATTTTTTTAAATGTAAGGAGTAGAAAGTACAGATATTTGTGTAAAAATGTAAGGAGTAGAAGTAAAAAGTTGCCATGAAAATAAGTAGTAAAGTAAAGTAAAAATATCAGAAAAATCTACTTGAGTACAGGAACGAAGTATTTGTACTTCGTTACTTCCCATCTCTGGTAACCAGTCAGACACAAATTGATTAAGCAGCTTGTCCAGTAATGAAAGACAGACAACAAATGAGCTGCTGATTGTCTGAAAGTAATGGAGCTGTGGATATAGTCGATTAGTAGAAGAAATTAACGTGCTTCTTTGAGATGTACAGGTCCCTAATGTGGTCAATTGTCAGTTGACAGTAATAAAGATACTTTTGAGCTTGAAAGCTTATATATCCTTCCAGAAAAAAATTAGCTGCCAGTAAAATAGAAATTGACAAAGGTTATAGTCAATACAAATATTATAAAATGGAAATATGAAATTGATTTTGAATATATGTATATATACATATGCATAAATATGTATGGAACAGCCTCACCTCTCACTCACCTCCATTACAACTGGTCATGCTTGTGGACAAATTGTACCCATGGGAAGTAACGTAACCTACAGGAAGGCTATATTTCCTAAAAAGCTAAGCAAAAGCAAAGTTTAAATGACTAAAATAAATACTACACTAGCAGGATGAAATAATTGTTTCATTAAAAAAAAAAGTGACCATATACCTTTAAATAGCAAGAAAGCTTGTATTTACATAATGCTATATAAAGTCCAGGGACTTTAAAGTTCTTTGCAATATATTCAGGAATTCATACTGTGATGTTTGTAAGCTATTGTAGCCATTGCTGCCCTGTTGATTGGCTCTGGAGGTACCTGTAGGTCGTATGTGAAGCAGATTATGTTGAACCTAGATTTAAAACATAGATGTGTCTTTTATTTAAAGATGACCCAATCTTTAGTTCAGATTTTCCAAAGGCTGAGCTTCACTTTGCAAAACAGAAAACAATGGAACATGAACACAGGCTTTTATTTATTTTCAGAAGCAAGGAGAGGTGGGGGGTTTTATGAGGAATCATTATTGATTAATTTAGGCCATTTATTTCAAGCTTTCTTGATTGGTGAAACTGTTCTCAGCTGTGTGTCGCTCAGGAAGACAGAGCTTAGGCCAGCTTCGGCTTCAGCTCCACCTCCACTGGAAAATGGTCACTAATCTTCTTTGCCTGAAGGAGACAAAGAAAACATCGGTCAAGGTTCTTCATCCAAATGCATCAACACTCATCAAATGCTTTTGAGTTTTATCAAATGAGGCCATGATGACTCACTTTAAACTTTTACCATCTTTAATTTAATATATATATACCCTCAAAGCAATACTTTGTTAGAGCAAATTTTGATTGAGTTTCAGCATTTGGGTTTCTTTAAAGAGGCTTTTTCATGACAGCATGACTTGGCACAGTGGGTAGCAATGCTGCCTTGCCGCAAGAAGGTCCTGGGTTCAATAAGGGTCTTTCGGCATGGAGGTTGCATGTTCTCCATGAGCATGCATGGGTTCTCTCCAGGTACTCCAGCCTCCTCCCACAGTCCAAAAACATGACTGTTAGGTTAATTTGCTTCTCTAAATTATCCTTAACTATGTGAGAATGGTTGTTTTTTCTGTGTTGCCCTGCAATGGACTGGCGACCTGTCCAGGGTGTGCCCCGCCTCTCGCCCGTTGACAGCTGGAGAGGGCGGTACCAGCCCCATTTGGGATAAGCATGATGGAAAATGGATGGTCTTTGAGTTCTTAACTGTTATAATCCTAATAATTCCTTCAACTATATCAGGCAAAGAAGTGGATTTATTTATATGGTGCATTGGGACCAGACGCAGTGTCCGTGGTGATTTCTGCTAGCACTGCGGGGAGTTCGCCGCTCTGTATTTTAGATGCACAGTGTTTACATGCTGGACTGCGTCACCAAATAGGGGAAGCTTCAGCTGCGTGAAGCTGAAATCTCACTGACGTGGAAAAATCTGAGCAAATATACGGAGTGGCTATTGCTTCTTTGGTGCAACTCTGTTCATTTAAAATGGCCATTTGTAAAAAATGAAAAAAAATAAAATATTACTTAAAAAAGATGTTTTATTGTTATGTATATATTGTTTCAGGTACATACCTAGGGTTAGGTATGTACCTGCAATGCTTAGGTTTAGGGCAAGGGTCACCTTTAGGCTGTATAACCAACCCACAAATGAATGGAGGTCAATAGAAAGTCCCCATCGGAATAGTGACACCAAACGTGTGTGTGTGGGTGGGGGGGAGTCAAAAATTACTTATATGTCTTTCTACAAAAACTTGTCTTGGTTAGATCCAGTAGGTGCTCTTCTAATTTCAAAGAATAAGCTGTAAGAGACCAGTTTTACATGCTGCATACACACGGCCATGCAGACCCAAACACGACTTTTTCAGATGTTAGTCAACTCAGCTTAACAAATGAACTTTTTGGTGAATGCCCTACCTTGAAAGCATTGCACCTGCATAGTGAACATAGCTTTCTCTGATTAGCGAGTGGTAATGAGGCAGAGATAAACTCTGCTTAAAGTTGAGACAAAGTCCATATTTTTGCAGCCAATCTGCACAGTGACAGCCACTGTTCTATTTTAATTTATGTCATAAATATGTGTTTAGTTTGAGAGGTCTGTAATATTGTTCAGTCTTCTTAATTGCCAGAAGTTGGGCTCAACATCATGCAAGCACACAAAGAGGGGAAAAACTACAGCTCAAATGCTCAATGTATGGACATCTGTGAAATAAGTTAGAATGTACATCACAAAAAACCTTGCATTTAACAAGGTTAGGACTTGTTTTTCATATACTATTTAAGGGTGCATTTCTGAGCTTGACAGTTATCACTATATGTCTTCTGCAGTTAACAATAATTTTATTTCCTAATGCAACTTGTAAACTACACTGCAATAGTTTCTATATTGTAAAAAAGTTTTTCTCCACATTGTCTTTTGGGGACCAAATTGACCTAGTTTTTACCTGTTCTTTACTGAGATGCAGGTGGGCCTCGAAGTCATAAACCTTTGCGCTGCCCATCACCACTCCCCTCATTATGTCTTCTTTGGCCACAATCCTGCCATGAACAGAAAGATGAATAGAGTGAATTATAGAATCTATGTGTGTGTAGCTCTGTGAGAGTGGATCTACCTGTCATAAGGGCACCCAGAGTTGGAGACAGTGGTGTCAACCGTATCTGGGATCAACCATTGGAAAGACTTGTCTCTGTAGAGCCGGATTTTTGCCCAGTCTCTTCTTGTCACATATGAACAGCCTGCGTTAAAGTCCCCCAGCAGCACAATGTCCTGCACAAAGAGAGTGGAGGGTTAACTGTGCTCTCGCTGCCCCCCCTCCTACGTTAAATTTTATTTCTATTTCTTTAATATTTTAACTTAAAATTTATTCACTTTGGTTTCCCAGCGTTTGCAGACATCATCCACCACGTCGTAGAGCGCATCTATCTCCTCCACAGCTGAGCTAGGAGAGGTATGCTGGGGGATCAGAACAAAGCTGCTTACGGCTGCAAAACAAAGAGAAGAAGAAAAGAAGAGATTCTGCCCAAAGGAACTCTGGATGTTCAGCTCCTGGTCAAACGTATTTCAGTTAAAAACTATTTGCTTTTTAACTAATTTAGAGCAATTTTAATGTTTCCAAACCAATTCACAATTCACATCCATGAGGTGAATGAAACATTATTTGGCCAAATAACTTTTTATTAAATTATTTTCCTAATCAGAATCTAATAACCTTTAGTTAATTGATTCTTTACTCCAGAATGCACAAAGCAGATATAGTTGATGGTATGTATGAAGGAGCTATATACAGCACATTCTAAGAAGAACATCAATTAGAAGATTAAACTTAAAAGTTGAGCTTCACCAGTGATACAGCCACAATGTTTTGATGTTGTGAACAAAGTCCCAGCTAAATACATAAATGTTGCCAATGGCAAAATGTGAAAAAAAATCTTGATGTCATAGTTATTCTCTCTGCACAGAGTTTACGTGTTCTCCTTCTTCCCACAGTCCAAAATATGACTATTAGTTTGAACCTTTTGACCTTTTGCCACACTTCAGGCTTCAAACATAAAAATCTAAAATGATATCACTTTGTGAAGATTGATCTAAATGTGGGACACAAGCATGAAATGGAATTCAATTTATTGGATATTTTTAAACTTTTTTAACGAATAAAAAACTGATGAATGGACAGGGCAAAATTAATTGGCCCCTGTACATTGCAGCAAACTCTCTCCAAAAGTTAAGGTAGGCTCTCTGAAAGATCCAAAGTTGACCTAAATGACTGATAAGTAGAATCCACCTGTGTGGAATCAAGTCTCCGTATAAATGCACCTGCTCTCTGATCGCCTCAGAGGTCTGTTTAAAGCACAGAGAGCATCATGAAGAAAAATGAAGACACCAGGGAGGTCTGTGATACTGTTGTGGAGAAGTTTAAAGCTGGATTTGGATACAAAAACATTTCACAAGCTTTAAATATATTCCAAGGAGCTCTGTTACAAACATACCAGTATTTATGGATGAAAACATGACGATAAAAGGTTCTCTCATAAATTTGTTGTTGATGTCGTTGTATGTATAGTTTTCAACCACAGATACGCTCTCCTCCCTGCAGAGAAACAGTTAAAATGTATTACATCAGTGTTGTGGTAAATATCTTATTTAATCAGATATTATTTGGACTTTCATATATTATTTACTACTAGCTGTGTGTTAGAACAAATAAATCAAAAGAGTGATTCGACCTCAACTCATGGTCAAACAGATAATTCAGCAAATACATGGAATAAATTCACCACAACTTCTGTTAAAAATATAAGAGCTTCCAAACCAGCAGAATAAGATAATCTGCTTTCTAAAATACTCTGACATGTTTTTTGGATGTGGTATTTATCTAAAGAAATTCTTCATGAAAGCTTCATGTTCATAAACACTGCAGCCATATAGAATCTGTGCAACAAAAGAGTATTTTATTTTTGAATAAAGTCATGATGAAGGAATTCTTCTCAGTGAAAGTAAGTAAATGTGTCATGATCTTGGCACTGATTACTGGCTCAATCACTTATTTCATTCCCCTGTCCAATTCTGTCTGGTTTGTCATTACCTCTCATCGCATCCAATCATCAGGGTCAGATTATTCTTGTTCTTTCTAGCCAGTGGTGGGCGTGTTTTTAGAGTTCCTTGGTGTTTCTGATTTCCTGATCCTGACCGTTCTGCCTCTCAACCACAACCTGGCTGTTCTTGTCTGATCTCAGTGGAGAGAATGATTTTAGTGTACCATAGTGTTTCTGATTACGAGATCCTGAACTGTTCTGCCTCTCAACCTCTGAGCCTGTCTGTTTCTGTTTTGATCTGTTTGCCTGACCTGTCTCCAGGCTCCTGCTTGTTCTCTGGGTCTGCAGCATGTGGGACACTCTAGGCAGCTCCCGCTGCTTCTTGGTAGGTGCCCACTGGCATCCTACCTTGTTCTCTGGGCAAGGACTGAACTGTTAAACCAGGTTAGTGACTCACACGTTCATATTAATCCTCCGTCAGATTATCTAGGTCACTAACCTGTGTTTCTAGCTGCTGCTACTGCAAAAACTATGATCATCCATGTCTTAAATAAACACTTAATAAACACAGTTATTCCACTGTCTGTCTAGTCTGAATACTGGGTCCCTTCTTTTCTGTGTCATTACAGAATAATCTGGCCATAACATGGACCAATCAGCCCGACAGACAGTGGTGTTCTGAGGTTAAACTGTGTTTTTCTTGGCTTGAGTCTGGCATGCATGAGATTCTGGATTGCCTGCAGGTTACTTCTGCGTCATCTGCAATCGTAAGCATCATCTGTCTCCCCTTGAGCTATTTGTATTTTTTTTTATGTTTTTTTTTCTCTCATTCCTACTGTTATGATTATTTTATATTAATTGATATATGTGCTTGTTAAGCCAAAATTAGTACCTCCTTGTTACGTGTTAAGGCTCATGAGTTGGTTATACTCAGAGAGCTCTGGCACTGTGCATTCATAGGGTCCTTGAACCAAAACACGCTATTTTGATATGGCTGGGGCCAGTGCTGCCTCCTCATTTTACAAACATATTTACAGGCTCAGACTAGGAACGATTTTCGGCCCTGGCATTTTTCCATCTACACCGGCCCACTTATGAACCCCTCAGAATTTAAAAACTGGTCCGGGATTTTTGGTCGCCTGTCTCCAACACATTACATAGGCTACTGTGCATTGTGATTAGATTGCTACTCAGTTCCAGTACTCCATTCCAGGTTTCTCTGTATGGAAAATTATACACACCCTTCTACACAAATCCAATCACTTTGAATTATGTGTTTTGGAAAGGTAAAGAGAGTTTGCATGCTGCTAGTCTACCCTGGGTGTGACCGGCAATAGCACATGTGTGCCGGTTTTATGGCAATGCCTAAACAAAAGTGTATGTTTGCGGAGAATTCAAAGAAAAAATTGCCGTGCTTTCACCAGGGTCATGATCCATATGAGGTGGAGTGTTTTATGATTTGTCTGTGTCACCCCCGCCCTTAAAAAAAGGGTCCACCTTTTCAGAAACCCAAATCTGGTCACCTTAGGTTACCATTTCTGTCAATATCTGTTGTCATGTTGTCAGCATTATGAAGTTTATTTTAAAGTTTTGGCTTTGAGTGATGACTTCTCAGGAGAGAATCAGGGAGAAAAGCTTAAAGAACACAGAGCTTTCCTTCACGCTACCTGTATAGGAAAAGATATCTCTCCTTGTAGGTGTTGCGACCCAGAGGCTCACTCACAATGTAAGAATATGTTGGACAAATTCTGGGGAAAACAAACACAGAATAACATCCGAACCAAAATATTTATTTTACCCAAAGCTTTCTAAACATTCCAACTAAGCATAATGGTGCAGTGTTTGCTAGGTATGAGTGACTCTAACCTGTTGACATACTCCATTAATTTGTTGGTTGCTGACAGGTCAATGTCTCTGACCTCCTGGATCAGAACGATGTCATAGCGACGAACAATCTGCAAAAAGGAAAATTATTGCATTAGACTTTTGATTCTGCATGTGCCAATTTCTTTTGATAGTTATTTACAATAGTAACAACCGAAACAACTCTGTTTACATTTGATGAGAGGAATTCTGAGAGATAAAGGTGTGAAACAATGAAGCAAATTTACTATGCCCTGGCTTTCTTACATGTGGCTCTCCATTGTTTATTTTTCTTAATTCTGTTGCATTGGAGACATCATCAATGCTAACCCAGCGTGGTGGTATGACCAGGCACACAGCCACGGGGGGACAGCTTGCCAGGGTGAGTTCTTGCAGTTTTTTTAATTAATTATAACACAGGTAACAGAGGCAGGAATCCAAAAAGCCCAAAAAAATGTAAAACAAACCAGAACCATGGACACATCAGGGGAAAACAATCAAGAGGAGCCAGGGTAAGACCAGGAAAGAAGTAAGATGAGGTATGACGATGTTAGACGAGGAACCAGCACTGAGGAACTGCACAAGGAGTGTATTTATGGGAGACTGAACAAAGAGAGGACTAACGAGCAGACTGGGAGAAGGTGTGTACAGACGAGGACAAGGAAGAGTCTTTGGAGGCCGTCCGTGGGGCAGGAGACAGGCAGTGTCTCTGGAGGCCGGCCTTGCGGCCCAGGATGAGGAACGGTCTTTGGAGGCCGGCAGTTGGGCCCGAGACGAGGAAGAGTCTCTGGAGGCCTGCCGTGCAGCCCGAGACGAGGAAGAGTCTTTGGGGGCTTGTTGTGGGGTCCGAGACGAGGAAGAATTTTTGGAGGCCGGCCGTGGGGCCCGAGACAGGGAGTGTCTCTGGAGGCCGGCCGTGCAGCCCGAGACGAGGAACAGTCTTTGGAGGCCGGCAGTGGGGCCCAAGACGAGGTAGAGTCTTTGGAGGCCGGCCGTTGGGCCCGAGACGAGGAAGAGTCTTTGGAGGCCAGCAGTTGGGCCTGAGACGAAGAAGAGTCTCTGGAGGCCAGCCATGCAGCCCGAGACGAGGAAGAGTCTTTGGAGGCTGGTTGTGGGGCCCGAGACAAGGAAGAGTCTCTGGAGGCCAGCTGTGGGGCCCAAGACGAGGAGGAGTCTCTGTAGGCCGGCCTTGGGACCCGAGACGAGGAAGAGTCTCTGGAGGCCAGCCGTGTGGCCCGGTACGAGGAAGCGTCTCTGCAGGCCAGCCATGCGGCCTGAGATGAAGAAGAGTCTCTGGAAGCCTGCCGTGCGGCCCGAGACGAGGAAGAATCTTTGGAGGCTGGTCGTCGGGCCGGAGACGAGGAAGAGTCTCTGGAGGCCTGCCGTGCGGCCTGAGATGAGAAAGAGTCTTTGGAGGCTGATCGTGGGGCCCCGAGACGAGAAAGAGTCTCTGGAGGCAGGCTTTGGGGCCCAGGACGAGGAAGACTCTATGGAGGCTATTTGTGGGGCCGGAGACGAAGAAGAGTCTCTAGAGGCCTGCCGGGGGGCCCAAGTCTAGGAAGAGTCTCTGGAGGCCGGCCATGGGGCCCAGGATGAGGAAGAGTGTTTGGAGGTTGGTCGTGGGGCCCGAGACAAGGAAGAGTCTCTGGAGGCCGGCCATGCGGCCCGAGACGAAGAAGAGTCTCTGGAGGCCTGCCGTGCGGCCCGAGACGAGGAAGAATCTTTGGAGGCTGGTTGTGGGGCCCGAGACAAGGAAGAGTCTCTGGAGGCCGGCCATGCGGCCCGAGACGAAGAAGAGTCTCTGGAGGCCTGCCGTGCGGCCCGA